GGGATCTCAGAGTTGTTTTGATTTGCATTTCTCTGATGGCTAACAATGTTGAGCATTTCCTTAAGTGTCTTTAAGCCATTTTAGATTTATCTGTTCAGAGTTCTCTGTTTAGGTTTCAAACGTAACATTGTATACCAGTGTTTCTTTAGAGAAAAAGAACATCTGTATTAAACTAATCCCACTTGAGATGGTGGGAATGAGAACCATCCTCTTGCAGGCTCTGGCATTTGAACACATGGTCTCCAGTTGGTGGTGATGTTTGGGGAGATCTTGGAACCTTGAGGAGGTTCAGCCATCACTGGACGTGGCTATGAGCAGATATCGCCTCAATTTAGTTCCTGTTCATTTTCTCTGCTTCCTATATGTAGAAGAAGATGTGATCAGCCACTTTTTAGCTCCCGCCACCAGGCCATAATCGTGATGGACTTTATCCCTCTGGAATCATAAGTCAAGATAAACCCTTCCTTCTCTAAGCTGCTTTTGGTCATGGTGTTGTATCCCAGCAGCAACAAAGTAACAACTTTAACGGAAATAATTTTCAGGTTGCACAGTAATGCTTTTCTATCAATAAGTTACTGCTACAATCTAAACTCTGGTGTCTTCTCAGACTTGAAGAGTTAAAAAATCCACGGCTCACTGTGCGTGGCAGTACACACCAATAAGGACTCCTAGACCTCCAAGACATGGCACTAGGTCACTGGGAGGTGATTTGGCCCTGAGAGCAGAGGCCTCATAAACAGCAGTGGTGCTTTTAAAGAGATTTTTTTTTTAAAGTTATCTGTATGTGTCCTTGCATAGGAAGGTGCATGTGTGAGCACAGTGCTGATGGGGTCCAGAAGAGGGCAACGGATCTCCTGGAGTTGGAGTTACAGACAGTGGTGAGCCGCCCAACGGGAGTGCTGGGAAACAGATTCCCTCAAAGAGCAGTGCGCAGTCTGAGCCAGCTTTCCAGGCCCCAGTTACTGCTCCTTTATATTGCCTGTGGAAGTAAAAGAGAAATGAGAAGTGCCATCTGAGAAGAGCAGAGCTGAGTGTGTCCCTGTCGCTGTCTGTCCTTGGACTTCCAGCCTGCAGGACCTGAGAAATCAACTTCTACAGTTGGTAAGCCACAGTCATGGTCCTTTGTTACAGAAACCTTGGCCAGACCAAGACTAAAGGAATACATTAACCGATTCATTTGCTTCTTGCTCAAATAGCCTTGGACCCTATGATAATTAATTTTGTCAACTTGCTCCAGTTTAAAGTCACTGTAGAAATAAAACTGTGGCCATTTCTGTGAAGAATTACCTATATTATATAAACTGAGATGGGAAGATCCACCCAAAATGTGGGCAGCATCGGTCCATGTGTTAGGATGGCAGACTGAATGAAAGGAGTGTAGTGACATTTCAACTGTATTTTAATAAATAAAGACTGCCTGAAGATCTGAGAGTAAAACAGTCCCACGGGTCAGCCTTACAGACCAGGTTATGGTAACACACACCTTTAATCCCAGCAGCCACAATGACACACACCTTTAATCCTAGTAGTCACACTTGTTACCATAGAAATCGGGTGGTGCATGCCTTTGATCCCAGCCCTATAAGATGGGGGGGGGCAGCTCTCAGAGACAGTCTCATTCTGAGACTCGTGGAGGCAGGATCACCATTTCAGACCGAGGTCGAGGTAAGATCAGTGGCTGGCTGTTTGCTTTTCGGATCTTCAGGTTGAACCCCAATTTCTGACCTGAGGTTTTCTTTTTTAATTAATGGTACTTCAAAGGAGAAACAGAGCCGAAGACCAGCACTCAGTTTTCTCCCCTTCTTGCCTAGATGCAATGTCAACAACTCCCTCACAATCTTGCCCCGTGACTTCCATGCCCAGATGGACTGTACCCTTCAACTGTGAGCCAAATAAACTGTTCCTTCCTTAAGTTGATTTTGTCAGGGACTTTTGGAAGAGCAGCAAGGCAATGACTTTTGCAGCTCTCTTTATGGGCTACCAACGTGGACAGAAATACGGGAGATATCCAAGTAGTTTCAACCTTCCACTTCTCTTCCTGTTTGAAAGAATTTCAGGCTTATAGAAAAAAACACATACATAGTAAAAAAAAAAAATCCCATCATCCATTCACAGAAAATCACAATGTGTGCCACCTTCCTCTGTCCTCTCTCATCTAGCCTATCTATTGCATTTTAGTTGACCAAAGCCCATTTCCAACTTTGATTACAGGCTGTACCCATACAGGGCTAACTGACTTGGTCAGCACTCTTTCCTGTTGACATAAATTCACCAAGGGTCATAGCGGGCTTGAGATGGCAAACCTTAAAATGATGCTGGGAGGGGTGCTGAAGTCCTGTGTGAGGGAAGAGTGTGTCCCATTAAACCAAGATTCAGGTGTGAGGGCCATCCATGATAATCTAAGTCTGGGCAGGTCACCCAAAGGATGTTCTTTACTTCCTCCAAACATTATCATCTGGGACTCTGGCCATTGATGAATTTCAATGGAGTCTGGAGTCTCAATTGTTTACCCTGAGACAGGGTGCGTGGCTGCAGAAGGAACCACAAGTTGAGATCACCTGACCCCACCCAAGAACAAACCAGTCAAAGGAAATTCCTGGCATTTCAAGCACTGTAGACAGAAACACCTGCCAGCGCACAGTCACCAGGAAACCCTAGATGAAAGTCAGCCAATCAGGGGTCTTAAACTTCAGAAACCCCTCATCCTCACCTTTACTACTATAAAACCCTATTCTAATTGAGCTGGGGCTCTCCGGTTATTCCAATATGTTGGACATGCGGAGAGACCGAGTTTGCAAACTTGATTAAAATAAAGGTTCTTTGCTTTTGCATACGGGACTCTTGATGCGGATTTGGGCATAACACAGGGAGGCCCGTGTTTTGGAATGAGCTTGAATACCAGGTCCGATGGAACTGATCAAACCAAAGCAGTCAGTCACGTTAAGTGCCAGATAATGCAAGTGAAGGTGTAAAGACACCAAAAGGTCCCAGAGGTCAAAGCAGACTCCAGTCCACCTAAGCCAGCCAAACAGGGAACTCTAAAAGCACAGCTGAGCCATGGTCCTGCTCTTACTGCCTGGATAAAGTGAGGATGTGACCACTCCAGGGTATGATTGGGGGGAAGGTTTTTATTGTAGACATGAGGGAGAGTACAGCCAGTGACATCTGGAAGAGTCCAGAGCAATGGAAGCAGTATGTTGAACATGGCCAGCAGAGTGGACCAGGCCATGAGAGGAAAGGGGAGAGGGGAAGACGAGAGAGGTCCAAGAAAGAGGCAAGAGAAGGCCAAGAAGACCAGGGGAACTCCTGGCCCAAATGACAGGGTTGTATAGAAAAGAGAAGCGGAGGGAACAAAAGCCCAGGAGCTGGAGACATTTAGGGTAGGGGTGGGGTGAGAAGAGATGGGAGGAACCAAAGTACTGAGCTAGCCTGAAGGCTAGCAGACAGTTTGGTATGTTAATAGGTACCACAGGTAGCCCTTTACCTGAGTTTCTTTTGCAGCTGACACAGCCTAGTGAAAACTCCCAGGCTGTTACAGTGAAAGCTGCCTCAATTCCCAATAATAGCTAGTTACTTTTTGTTTTTGTTTTTTTAAAGATAGGGTCTCTCTTTGTGTAATCAAAAGTGGCTTCCAATTTCCAGTCCTTGTTTCTCAGGTGTAAGAAACCACCACACTCAACAATTTTATCTTTTTTTTTTTTTTTTGGAGACAAAGTTTCTCTGTAGCTTTGGTGTCTGTCCCAGAACTAGCTCTTGTAGACCAGGCTGGCCTCGAACTCACAGAGATCCGGAGATCCGCCTGGGATTAAAGGTGTATGCCACCACCGCCCTACAGCATCTTTTGACAGAAGGAAGCAATGGTTCTCAACCTGTGAGTCCTGACCCTTGCAGGTTGAATGACTCTTTCACAGGGGTCACCTAAGACCATCAGGAAACAGATCTTTACATTACAATTCATAACAGTAGCAAAATTACAGCTATGAAATAGCAATGAAAATAATTTTATGGTGTTGGGGGGGTCACCACAACATGAGGCAGTTATTAAACAGTCACAGCATCAGGAAGGTTGAGGCCAGGCTGGGCGGTGATGGCACACACCTTTAATCCCAGCACTCCGGAGGCAGAGGCAGGGCGGTCTCTGGGAGTTGGAGGACAGCCAGGGTGAGAAACACTGTCTTGAAAAACCAATAAAATGAAATAGGAAGGTTGAGAACCTTCAGAAGGCTAACAAAATTTGGCAGAGAGCATTCTCATATCCCAAACAGGAAAGGGACACAACCTAGTAAGTCATCAGTCTCTCAGCCAGTTATGGATCAAAAAAAAAAAAAAAAAAAAAAACTTCTCAAACTCCTATCTAATCTCAAAGCTTACTCCTAAATTCTAGGTTATGAATCCCTCTGATCTTTGGTGCTGTGTTTTTATTAAGCTTGTGAAAAGATTATGGTCTTTATGATGGAACAAGGGGGTAACTGAACTACAGGTAAAGACATATTATATACATTTGGCTCGTCTTTTAATAAATTAAGGTGCAGGACTGGGTGAGATGGCACTCGGAGAGGTTGAGGCAGTAAAGACCGCTGAGAGTTATGGGCTAGAAAATAAGACGCTCTCTCAAAAAGCCCCCCCCCAAAAAAAACCCAAAAACGAACAAACAAACAAACAAAAAAACAACCAGGGGCTATAGAGATGGCTCAGTGGTTAAAGACATTAGCTCTGGTAGAGGACACGGATACGGTCCCTGGCACCCACGTGGTAGCTCATAACCACGTGTAATTCCTGCTCCAGGGGATCTGACGCCCTCCCCCGACTTCCCCCGGCACCAGGCACGCACGTGGTGCACATACGTCCGCTCACGCAAAGTACTCATACATGCAACACAAGTGTCAAAAAGAAAGAAAAGAGAAAAGAAAACCCCGTTTAACCACACAATGCGCTTCCAGTCCCGCGCAGGACCAGCTGGACCTGGCCGGCCGGCCCCCTCCCTTCCCGGCAGCCCTTGCGCGGGGAGGCGGGCCCGTCTGGGAAGCGGCTCCGCTCGGCGGCCCCTTGGCGGGAGGTTTGAAGACCCGGGCACACGCAGAGACTCCGTTCCACTCCGGAGTGGGTCTGGGGGGCTGAGAGCGCAGGGTCGCCCTACCGGGCCACCGGACGCTCCGTGGAGGAGGAGGACGCAGGCCCAGCCCGGGGAAGCGACGCGGCGCTGACTAGCGAGCGCCCCGAAGCGGCGGGCCCCAGTCGCCGGGCCCCCGGGTAGCCTCCGGGCCTCCCGGAGGGATCAGGGCTTTGCGGCCGTGTGCCGCGAAGCCTGGAGCAAAGGAGAGGGAAGAGAGGAAGCCGGAGCCTCTTCCACAAACGTAGGGTGCTGAGCCGCCGAGCCTCCGGGGGGCTCGGCCTGCGCATGCGCACCTCTCTGCCTTCCTGCCCGGGCACGCTCGGTCCCACCCGCCTAGTCGGGTCATGGAGGCCTCGGGAGGCGCTGGGGGTTCCTTCCTGAAAGGTGAGGAGACACGTGCATTTGGGTGGAGGTTTGCGTGACCAAGTTTTCTTTGGAAACACTTGCTGGGCCATCAGGGTCCACTCAGACTGGGGTGTCCTCACATCCTGGTATCCTCACACCACGGAGTGTGCTCATCCAGGGTCGCGACCACCTGTGTGGACAACCCCTCCGGTTTTCACCATATGCGCTTCACCTCCCTCGGAGTCCCTGCCATGGTACCTGTGTGTACAATCCCCCCCCCTCACCCCCCGTGCGTCCTGAGCCGTTGACAGTTGGCAGGATGATCGGGTCCCATCTTAGCTCTCTGAGAGCCTGGGCCCTTGCGGGGTCAGGAAAAGTATTGGCTTGGTAATAATGGGAGTGGCCTCTCGGTGGGTCCTACTCAGCTGACACCTGTGGAACGGTCCTATTTTTCTCGTGCCAACAACTCCGTTCCTTTTACTAGTAAGGAGATCAAGGCATAGTAGGTCCTCACGGTTGAGCCCCACCCCCCCATCTGTTCCCAGGCATGACTCCACAAGCTGAGGGCTAGCGTGTGCTGATGATTGTAGAGTTTGACTTTGAGGAAAGAGATTGGTGTGATGGAACTTGGCGTGGGAGAGCCGAAAGAACAGGCCAGCTGTTTGCACAATTCTGTAACCAGGGGTAACTGTTTTTCTAATACTAGTAGAGTGTTTTGTAACAGAACCAGGTCTTCCTTTTTCTTTGCTCACAGTTACTTAGCCGTGGTACTCCTCCGGGTGGGAAATTGTGTTTGGAGAGAGTCTCTAACCCATGCTAGCCTAGTACTTCTTAGGTAGCCGAGACGGACCTTGAATTTCTGATCCTCCTCCCTAGAGCGGAGATATAGGTGTGGGCTTCCAGGCCTTGTTTTTGTTGGAGTAGGCTTAAAACCCAGGACCCAGTGCATGCTAGATAAACAAGTCTACCAGCTGTGCTACATCTGCAGCCCTTCTTCACATGTTAGATGTGAAAAAAAAAATGAAGAATAGCAGGTGAGAATCATATGAATCTATTTTCCATCTCCATAATACTTTTTTTTTAGACAAGGTCTCCTGTAGTACAAGCTGGTCTCGAGCTTGCTGCATAGCTGAGGCTGGCCTAGAACTCCTGATCCTCTTGCTTAATCTCTAAATGCTAAGATTACAGACATGTGCTGGTATGCCCAGCTACACAAGCAAAGTTTTATTAGAACAAGGCTATATTGGCTTGTTAACCTCCTGCCTATGCTATAGCCTTGAGACTGAAAGATAGGCTGGTCCAGAAAGCCGGGAGCCATTAATTAGTTTCTTACAGAAAGCATAATCCAGGATAATTAAACCCAGATTAGGAAGACTTTAAATACCATGAAAGTAGCAGTGATAATAGTTGGAATAGATTTCTAATAGAAATTTTCATTTTCTAACATAAATAGAGCAAGAGAAAAACCTGTCGAACAGGGCAGGGGGGAGGTATTGCAATTCTCAGTGTGTATTTCCTGCTAATGTCTGGCTTATTTTCAGATATTGTGGCCTATGTTGAAGTATGGTCTTCCAACGGGACAGAGAATTACTCAAAGACATTTACAAAACAGCTTGAGAATATGGGGGCAAAGGTAAGAAATTAATATCAGAATGATTGATAGCCCGCTGGCTGGCATTTTCTTGTTAGGGGAGCTATTCCTTAAGACATGAAGGACATGGCAGTAGGTGAGCGGTGAGAGCCAAAACGACGACTCCAAACAGGAGTTGGGCAGTAGTTGCTTACAGCGCAGATGGTCTTGGAGGTGTTATATGAGGAGGAATCTGGGAAGAAGCATGGACCTGTCATTGGTTCTGTAAGGACTGGTATTTGGAGTCAAAAGAATAAAGATACAGGAGAATAAGCAGGTTCCTAAGGGAACCGTGTCCTTAGGTGTACTGGAAACATCTCCTAAGCATTTGACTACCCATTTCTGAAGCTTGAGGCCGTCACATGGTGGGTGGTCAAGATCTCCAGGGTCAGGAGAGAATACCGGCCTTACACAGATTCTAGTTAGCATGACTAGTGCTCAAGGAGGTGGCTTTTTGAATATTTAAGGACCAGTGATGGCCTGACCACCAACCCAGGAACAAGAGAGAGAGAGGAAAAATATATCAAGAGAATGTGGAAGAAAGTATGGAAGAATTTAAAAGAGGGGGATTTGGCCAGACAGTGGTCATGCACTCCTTTAATCACAGCACTCAGGAGGGTCTCTGGCCAGCCTGGTCTACACAGTAAGGTCCAGAACAGCCAGAGCTACACAGAGAAACATTGTTTAAAAACAACAACAAAAAGGTGGGGATTCAGAACAACAGAGCCTCAAGAAAAAGGTAAGATATACCTTACCTTTTGAAAATTGCGAGGTGATTGTCTTAGTTTACTTCCCCATTATAGGGGTAAAGGGGTTCCAGGTGAGAAGGAATCCTGACTTAGGAGGAAACGGAGACAGTGAACAGAGACTGCTCTAGTGTGCTTACTTATTTATTGGTCCTCAGGCTGGGTGAAGTGGATAAAGTGGGTGGCAGGATAACTCAAGGCAGAGTAAGCATTGGTGTTAGAGCAGTACCTGCCTTGCTTAGCCACACTAATCCATGTGAAGTAAGGTCAAAGGCTTAGAGTAGTCTGCACAGATGCACCGCCACCTGCAATGGAGTTAAAGCCAATATAACCATTGTATAAAAAGAAAATCTGTACATTGAAAATGTATGTAATCACAGAGCGTCATAGCTTAGCAGTGTGTGTGGCACAGTGACTCTTGGGACTGACTGAAAATTGTTATTGTTTGCATCATGAAATATGATGCATATCCTACAGTTCATAGCCAGATTAACAGCATACCATGCCTACTGACAGTACATCACTTTCCTACCACCTCAGAGTAAACCGTGATAAACCAGGGACTTTCTGTGTGGAAGGAGGGTCAACCTGTTTTTCACTGAAGAGGCCCAGCCCGTTTTGTTACACTGGCACGTGGAGTACCAAGAGAAGTCCCTCTTTAGGAGTCAGTGTGTGAATTCTGGTTCGTGCCTCTGTCCAGATGCAGTCTGTGGCAGCCCAGCGCAGGGTGTGGGATTTTAGCAGCTGCTCCTCCGGTGTAAGGCTCATAGGTGCTGCTTATTGTCTGCTAACGTGAAAGCCTGGGAGAGAATGTCCCCAGGGAGTGGGCTGGGCTCTTTCTGGCTGCCTTGAGAATGGCTGTGCACAAAAGGAACAGCTGTGCGCTGTTAAAACTCCTACTATATAGGGCTGTGAAATTTGTGATGAAACCCAAGAGCAGCCAGCTGTCCTTTGTGTTATGTTCCTTTTGTGCTGGGGTAGAACTCTTGACCTCACACATAACTAGTATACTATCGCTGAGCTAGGTCCCCAGTGTCTTCTGTTTTGGAAAGGCAATCATTTAAAAGAGATTTTCAGTGTATGGGTGAAGGAAAGAGCACATGGCATACGTGTGGTCAGAAGACAACTTGAGGCTGTTGCCTACCCCAGGGCCTGGGGAACACCCATATGTCATCAGGGTTGGTGGTACCAGTGCTTCCCTTTACCCACTGAACCAGGTCACCAGACCCCAGATGTTTTGTTCTTAATCTCTTCCTTTTTTAATCTGCTTTCATATTTCCAGTGTACAGCACTTTCTAGGGAAGATAAAAATCCAAGACCCCCAAGATGCCTGAACCTACAGACAAAACCCTATCTATGCATACATACCCATGAGCCTGGCCCAGCTACTTGAGAGAATGAGGCAGATAGCCAAGTTGAAGGTACCTTATCAGATCCTGTATCACAATTTAAAAAAATAAAATAAGAAAGGGTTGTTCATCTAGGTATAAAATTTAGTAGCAGAAAATCTGCCTGGCATGCTGAAGACCATAGGCTCAAACCTCCCCAGTGCTGGGATTACAAGCATCTACCACCATGTCTGACTTTTTCCACAGGTTCAGGGAATCAAACTTGTAGTTGGTTTTTGGTTTTGTTTTTATTTGTGTTTTTAGCTCTTTTACTCTTTTGGGGGCCCACCCCCCAGCTCCCAAATAAAAATACACATGGAGGCTTATTACTACTTATGAATGTTTGGCCTTAGCTTGGTTTGTTTCTTGCTAGCTTTCTTAAATTATCCCATCTATACCTCTTGCCTCTGGGCTTTTATCCACCCTGTTCTGTATACCTTTCTTTACCTCTTACTTGTGGCTTGCTGTGTAGCTGGGTGGCCTCTGATGTCCTCCTCTTCTTGTTCCTTCTCTTTTTTCCAGATTTCTCTGCCTGCCAGCCCTGCCTATCCTTTCCGGCTGTCCAGCTATCAGTATTTTAGACAGGCAAAGTATCACAGCTTCACAGAGTTAAACAAATGCAACACATCTTTGTATCACAAATGTTCCACAGTCTAAATAAATGTAACACATCTTAAAATAACATTCCACAACACAAACTGAGGACATCAATGTTTGCAAAGCAGTCACTTCACTTGCTGAGCCATCTCCCCAGTTCCAAAAAGCATATTTTTATGAATCTACTTGATTAATATTTTAGCTGATTGTAAAATGTTAGCTTGCCCTCTTTTCCCTTGAAGGAATATTTTCATTACCTTTTCGACACAAAATCTCACTGTGTTACAATCCTCAACCTCATAGTGAAGATTCTCCTACCTCAGTCCCTGAAGTGCCACCATGCCTGGCTTCTACATTTTTTTCTGACTTCAGATTGCTATTGGTAGTGTCTGATATAGTTGTAATTTCTTGTTGTTTGCAGTTGGTCTTGTCTCCATCTTCTCACCCATTTCCACCTTTCAACATTTGTCTTTATTCTAGATATTCTTTTAATTCCATCATTTTATATCAGCTTAACAGAATTTAAAGTCATCTGACAGGAGGGAACCTCAGTTAGAAAATGCCCCCATAAGATCAGACTGTAGGTAGGCCTGTAGGGTATTTTCTTAATTAGTGATGGATGGAGGAGGACCCAGTCACTGTGAAAGGTGTCACTCTGGGCTGGTAGTCCTGGGTTATATAAGAAAACAGGCTGAGCAAGCCAGGGGGAGTAAACCCGTAAGCAGCACTCCACTGTGGTCTCTGCATCAGTGCCTGCCTCCAGGTTCCTGCTCTGTTTTAGTTCCTGTCCTGACTTCCTTCAGTGATGAATAGTGATGAACCGTAAGACAAACCAGTTGGGCAGTGGTGGTGCATGCCTTTAATCCCAGTGCTCAAGAGGCAGAAGCAGGCACATCTCTGAGGTCAAGGTTAGCCTGGTCTATAGAGTGAGTTCCAGAACAGCCAGGGCTACACAGAGAAACCCTGTCTATGGGGGGAGGGAGAGAAAGACAAACCCTTTCCTCTCCAAGCTGCTCTGGTCATGGCTCTTTGTTTCCAGCAGCAATAGTTAGTAACCTCAGCTAGAATGGATATGATTTCTGCTTCGTCTCCCCTATTTGTTTGTTTTAGCCCCATAACCTGGCTGCAGGGTCATGAGCTGTGCTTCTTTTGACCCTGCCTTTCCCTGTTGTCTATTTCCTGTGTGCTCTGTTGCTGGGGAGGTTTTCTTTACTCGGCTGTCTACAGTTTCTATGGAATTTTTTCCCCATTCTTAAATTTTAGTAACTCTTCAGGTCTTGGCCCCTTTGAAATATCTGATTTTATCACAAAATATTGCATCTTCTCAAGATACTGATTTTAACTTAATCAGATATGTATTCTCCTTGCTGTTTGTTTCCTCCAAATTATACTGTTTCTCTTTAATGTAGAGGGATTTCCATTTATTTATTTATTTACTTACTTACTTACTTGTTGTGAAAGGGTCTTAGGTACTCAGGCTGTGTAGCAGAAGATGGCCTTGACTGTATGGTTCTCCTGTCTCCACCAGAACACCAGGGTTACAGGTGTTTTCTCCGATATCTAGTTTTTTAAAGTGATGGGAGGATAGAACCCAGTTCTTTGTGTGTCCAGTCAAGTACTCTACCAACTATGCCCATAGCCCAATATGGAAAGTTTAAAAGACATTTAAGGCGCCTGTGCCTATCTATGTGCACATAAGCCACAACTCATGTGGAGGTAAAGGATGAAGAGGGTTTTGAAGGATCCTTGTTGTGTCTCCCAGTCTTTCCAGCTGTAAATAGGTGGTGCCTCCTCCTGTCCACTTCTCTTTTCCTGTTCCTTTATCCTTGGGGTCTTCTGGTTTGTCCTGTCTCCTTCTCTTTATCCTTGAAGACTTCCTACTCTGTTCTGTGCTTGGAAGCTTTATTGTGGGAATAAGAGTGCCATGAGTCAGAGCTTTATTGTGGGGCAAGGGTGACACAAGCAGAGGTTTACTGGGGGTAAGGGTGACCTGAGTGCTCATCTTCATTCTGACTGCAGCAGATGTATTTTGGTGGGGAGAGGTTGAGACAAGGTGTCACTTTGGAACTCCAGCTGTCCTTGAACTCTCTATGTGGGCCAGACTGACCTTCAACTCAGAGATCCTCCAGCTTCTGCCTCCTGAGTGCTGGGTGCTGGAATTAAAGCTGTGTACCATCATGCCATACAAAAGCATCATTCCACATTAACTGCAGTATTTTTTTCTGGTGTATTCTGAGAAGTGAAATTCTGGGGTAAGGATTTTGATCATTTCATTTTGACAAATTTTGAACAGTGCTCTTTTTAATCATTTTATTTAAGAAATTAGGAAAAGAGGGCAATGAGAATTTGATTTTTGAATTTTGTCCACAGGTTTCAAAAACTTTCAACAAGCAAGTGACCCATGTCATCTTCAAAGATGGATATCAAAGCACCTGGGACAAAGCCCAGAAAATAGGGGCAAAGCTGGTTTCCGTCCTCTGGGTTGAAAAGTAAGTAGTTGACCTCTATTTTTCTCCAGTAGTTTTCGAAGATTGGTAAAATTCTCCTTTTAGTGCTTTGCCTAGGTCATAGAATTTGGTAATATTTGGTTTTCATCTTTTCTCAGCCTTCTATGGATGCAAGTGCCTTAATATCTTTAATTAAGCCTCAGCTTCTGCAGCTGAAAAATGGGTGAAATGCTGATTCTATGTAGAGGGAAGGTATGTGTGAAGGCCTAAGGCAGTGGTGTGCCTTGGCTGTGCAGGAGATATGGAGTGTGACCGAGCACAGTGTGTTGTTACCTAATGTGGCTGTTGACACAGACCTTCATGGCTAGAGTTCATCTTCTCACCAGGAAGCTGTAGACCTCAGGTGTCTGCGACTTATTTCTTTTGAGATGTTCTTGGCCCGTATGTGGCCATCCCCTTCCTACGTTCACATGACATTCCCTCTGTTTATGTTTCTGTCCTCATTTTCTCTTAGAAGGTTATCAGTCACATTGGGTTAGGCCTTCAGCAATGACTTTCCTTACCTCAGTTACTTCTTTAAATATCCTGTCTCCAAATGCAGTCCCTTTGCGGTTTTGTTAGGAATACAATTGTGTGGAGTTTAATGACAATCCAGCCATCAAAGGGAAGTTTAGGTGGGAACTGAAGTCAGTAAGTCAGGTGCCCAGTGTGGAGGCTCTTGTGGGGGTGACATGGAATTGTGCTTTGAGACTGAGGTTAGTGGAAGCTGACAGTGATGAGGAGTCATTGAAAGTTCAGATCAGACCAGGACAGTAAGCAGTGTGGTAGTGAGGACTGACCAGTTCAGGATTTAAAAGCAACAACAACAACAAGTAACTAGTGTGTTTGTGTGTGTAAGGCTCTCTGTGTACACATGTGGGATTGCTGAGGACGACTGTTCATTGCCTGATGTAGTCGGACTCTGCGGAACCAAAAAGATGGCATTGGCTGAGATTGCAGAGGCTCTAGAGAACTGGGGCTAGTAGCTATCGAGATGTGTAGAATCAGATGTCAGATACCTACTAGACCTTACTGCAGAGGTGACGGGTGAGTGGGTGAACAAGGCAACTAAAATGGGGAGTTTCCTGTACTGGGGCTGTTAATTAAAGCTGTGTACTAAACATGAGCCTGAGTAAGCAGAAGGAGGAGGAAAAAAGTTGGATATGTCTGGGTCTGGACATCAGGCTGAGAGGAATGGGGGAAGGACACTGAAGAGTGGAGTGTTGAGTGGCCATGCTGCTTAGTTTCCAGAAACGAATGGACCTTTTATTTGGGAAAACACAATGAACTATCTGTACTCACAATACTTCTGACCTCAGATGTGTGGGGTCTTTCCTTTACCGGGCAAGTAAGTTAGTTACAAGTTCACTTAGAACAAGCTGGATGTCCAACAGCTCAGTTATGACACTCTACCTGGACTTGGGGTCAGATCGCACAAGGTAGGGACTCAGTCCTTCAGGTCTGCACTGACTTGAGATGGCAGTCATAAGTTCAGGCCTTCGCCACTTCTGTCCCACCAGCTATGAACAGGGTTTCCATTACTCCCTTCTTGAGTTGATGGTTTGTTCTAATAGCTCACATTATTCAAGGAAGAACTCTTGCATCTTTCCTGGATGCATCTGTAAGGACTCCCCTGACCTCCCTGGTCTGTCAGGACTCTC